CAAAAAAAAAACAGGATATGATCAAATATGATCAGGCTAGTGCATAGATCAGTGCCACACACTAGATTTTGGGCATATTTTGGTCTGTTAGAAAAAAGTGCCTCCTAAAATTTTAAAGGAAGAAAGACATATATGTACAAAATAAGGGTTGATACAATGAAGGGATGGAAGATGACTGTAAAGATAAAAATTATAAAAGATTTTATAAAACGAACTGATAAGAAGTTGTTTGAAAAAAGAAAAAAGAAGAAAAAAGGGAGAGAATGTGGTCAGGCAGGAGACTAGAACAAAGCCATACACTAGTGATTCAGGGTATATTTTGATCTGTTAGAAGAAAATGTACCTTAAAATTTTAAAGAGAGAACAACTTATATATATATGCCAAAAATAAGGGTAACTACTATGAAGGAATAAAATACGACTCTAAAACTGAAAAATAAAAAAATGTTTTTTTAAAAAAGGGATTGATAAGATGTTGTTTGAAAAAGGGAAAGAAAAATTAAAAAAAAACAGTTAAAAAAATTAACTTTGAAAAACTGATGATTCATAGTAAAAAAAAAAGCCATGAATTCTATGTGCAGTATTCCCCTAGCGCTGGAGATCTCCCGTTCTCCTTGATCGGTAAACTTGGTCTTGGCTTGCTGTCTGTTCGTACTGATCTTCTGGGGGAGGGACCTGTTGCCGTGGTTCCCAAATGTCTTTGCCGGAGGCGGGATTGCCCCGCCCTTGTCGGTCCGGGCTAAGCAAGCTGCTCGGGTTTGCTCTCAGCTTTTGTTCCCTACAAACTCTCGGTACAGCTTTGGAGGACCAGGGTGAAAATGGTGGCCTCCCAATCTCCACCCGGAGGAGCTGAGAACTCAGGGCCCCACTCCTCAGTGCGCCCCCAGAGAAAAGCAGTCACTCCCGTCTCCCTGGTCTCCGGCCGCACTCCGTGCTCACCCGGCCTGTGGCCGAGCGTTTCTGTCTCTGGCACCCGACCCCGTGTGGAGTCTCCAAACCCAGCAGATCCCTGCGGTGCGCTCCTGCACCGCTCCTCCCGGGGGAGGAAGGGGAGTCTCCCCAGCTCTGCCGCTTGTTGGGTCCCTGCTGGAGGCACAGTGGCCCAACTGGGCCGCGGATCACAGTTTATGGCCACCCCGAGCTGAGAGCCCGCGCCTTGGCTCCGTCTCTGCAGCCGGCTTCCCCGCTCCAATACCTGGGAGCTCTGCTGCACTCAGGCACCCCCCGGTCTTTCTGTGACCCCGAATGTCCAGAGACCACACTGTCCTGCGAGGGTTCCACCCCCCGCTTAGCCACTGAAGCGACGTCCCTCAGCGGAACCGACTTCTAAAAGTTCCGATTTTGTGCTCCGCGGCTCTATCACTTGCAAGAAGCGGCCAACGGAGGCCCCCTCCCCCGCCGTCTATCCTCCCGAATATCGCCTCGGATTCACTTCTCCGCACGTCCTACCTTCCAGTAAGTGGTCGCTTCTCTGTTCAGAGAGTTGTTGCTACTCTCCTCTTCGATCTCCTGTTGAGTTCGTAGGTGTTCAGAATGGTTTGATCCCTATTCAGCTGAATTCCTGAGACCAGACAAGTCCAGGTCTCCTACTCCTCCGCCATCTTGCTCCGCCCCCCTTTAGCATGTGATTTTGTAGAATGCAGCAGGTTTTGGAAATGCACATCTAGTGTTATATCTGAAATGCCTGTATTTTAATAGGTAACAATTCCCATATACCAATTTAAAACAAACAAGAACCCTGTGACTCTTTCTCCATCCCTGTCTTTTCCCCATTCAGTCATCCTGTACCTATGCATGGGGTCAGGAGGACATGTGCTCAAGTGGAAAGAGCATGGTCTTCAGAATCAGACAGAACTGAGTCTGATCCTTATTCTGAAACCTACCAGCTATGTTAACTCTAATGATGCTATCTCCCTGAGCCTCAGCTTCCTTCTCTGTAATGGAGAGGGTAGAAAGTCCTTTCTGGAAATCAGCCAGAAGACAGCCAATCTCCGTGAGCAAACTCAAGAGCCAATAGCAAGTGTCCCAAGGAGGTCCTTCCCACAGGACAGCACTTTCCAGTAGGGACTGGGCCTTGCCCCTGCAGATGCTCAGGGCCCTGAACCAGAACCTGCAGGGATGGGGCAAGGCTGGTGAATGCTTCACAGTCCCCCTCCAGATGACACGATGCCTGGTGATACACGCTGCTATAGAGAGGCTGTTCCCTTGTCCTGATTCCATGTTCAATAAGCAACTGAGGGCACGGAGCTCACGGGGTGAGAATGCCTGGGGTAAGTAGACAGTCTGGTCTGCTTAATAGCTACAAATCACAAAGTGACATTCTGTGTTTATTCAGCTTGCTCAAACTCACTGTGCCTCAGCTTCCTTGACTGTAAAATGGGAATAATAATAGCACCTAACTCTCAGCATCGCTGTGAGGATTATGAGAGGTATATGGAAAGTGTTTGGAACAGTGGCTGGTCCAGAACAAGTGCTATCTGAGTGTTCACTATTAGTATTGTACATCAGGCTCTGTGAGGTTGGTTAATGTCACTCTGCCTTTGGAAGCCAGTGCTGCACAAAAGCAACTTAAGACCATGCCCCTGAATAGTGGCTGATTTACCAAGTTCATACAACTTTGAAGGAACCTCTCCGGGCAGCCAGAGTCCTTGCTTAGGTGATAATATGCATGCCTCATCTTGCCATGTGCCTTAATATTTGAAACTGTCAGTAAGGATTGTATGAAAAACTGTTTCAAACGCCTAACAAGTGTCTAGCACACAGTCTGTCCTCAAACAATGGTGCCTTTGTCTCTCTTCTCAAGTGCCGTAAGTCTTTGAACTGTCAGCTGCAAACCATGCATTGGGAAGGGAATGCCCGGCAGCCTACGAACCACTGGGATAGCTAACTTTGACTCTAAGAGAACCTACAACCGTCTCGTTCCCACTGTTTCTGGACTGAAATAAGTTCAGCAGGAGACTGTAGCCTTAGCAGCTGATAACGTGATTTGAGACTCACGTAAGAGAACCCCAGTTAGACTTTAGCTCCTCCCAAGTAATGGTGTCTTGGTGACCATTATATACCCTGCAGCCAGCACGATACTTGGCACATAGCAGGTGTTCACAAACGATTTGTCATTAAATTAAGGCAGTAGGCCCTGATTTAAGGTTATTGAATTAACGCAATGGGTCCTGATTTCCCTCATTTTTTTACACGAGCCTGGAGCTAAGACATGTGAACCTTAGAGCCTTTCCAGGACAGAGAGACGAGCCAGCCCCAACCGGGGGAGGTGGCCACCTCCCCTGCCACAGCTTTGTCAAGAACGTGCTTGTAGAGCCTTGCACGGCAAGGACTGGAAGGCATCTCAAGGTATGTAGGGGCCCAAGAAATGCCCTTGGGCAAGAAACGTTGGCACCAAACATTATTTATTCAGCAGACATGTATCCAGTGCCAACATGGGCCAGGCCGTGAACGAGATTCAGTTCCTGCCCTCACAAATCTTAGAGGCCGAGGCAGAAAACAGCCCGTGGGGGGGACAGTACCATGTGATGGATGGGGGGACAGAAGGGGGCACAAGGTGCCATGGGAAGGGACATGGGTGAGAGGACTTTGAATGGGTGGCAGGAGTGACAATGTCACAGGTGAGAACCAACTGTGCATCACACAGGTTTGGGGAGGGAGAGCCACCTGTTCTGTTGACAGCTGGATTGCCTCCTCGTCTCGCAGGAGGGCCCCATTTTGGGTATAACCAGTATGAGCATCTCCACCCCCTTCCCTGAAGCCTGTGGACCGACTGCCAGGCCCACTGTGGTCTGTCCGGCACTTCGCCTGGAATATTCCTCTGCTACCAGGGCGGGTTCTGTCTTGTCCCCAGCAACCACTAGAGACATGGCTTGACCCTACTACGGCCACAGGCAATGCGACCCACAGATCCGACCTTCTGCTCCCGTCACCCTGCCTTGCCCCTCCTAGGACGCAGAGAGGTGTGCGGTAAGTAGACACAAACCCACGAGATGCGAGCTTTCCCTCGGTGTGAACAAACCCACATTAAAAAAGAAATAAGAATTTCCACTAACAAATTTATCATTACTGATCACGTTTTGAATGAAGTGAAGAATGTAACAAAATATATATATGTGTGTGTGTGTGTATTTTTTTTTTTAATCACAAATGGATGATAGATTTCTAGAACTGGTTTGCTGACCATCCAGAAAAGACAATAATGTAACTGCACTTCGGTGAGACTAGCCACCAGGCCATGAGCCCGAAGCTGGGACAGTGTTTGTGATCTGACAGTGGGCGACATGCCAGGCCAGTGGGGGAGCAGGGCCAGGGTTAGGTGTCAGGAAGCAGGGGAGGTCATGCCAGGTATTCTCGAGAAGGATCATCATGAAGTGAGCATGTGGGACCAGCTGAAACAAGCTCCTGCTTGTGCACACGTGTATGTTCACTTACATCAGCACACACTTCCTTCACTAAACTAGCCAAGGGGTTTGGGGGAGAGGAGTCGTGAGTCTACAAACATCTCAGAGAGACTCAACCTATCAAGATAGGTACCCAGATTCAGCTGGAGGGGGCACCTGCTGGGAGGGCTCCTAGGATGTGGCAGCGGTGGGGCGGCGGCGGGGGTGGGGAGTGAAGGCCGGGCTCTGGCCCAAGGAGCTCAGACATTAGCCTAGGGATACGCTAATGCTCAGACAACTGCCGTGTTGTGACGAGTGTGAGACAAGGTGACAAGATTGTTCCCATGTGTCGGGGAGAGCAGGGTCCAGTTACAGGAATCACTGGGATTTTGAGGCAGCCCTCTTGGGACAGGTGGCGTTGGAAACAGCATCCCAGCCAAGGAGAGAAAGTGAGGGGCCCCTGAGGAAGTGTGCAGGGTTGCTGAAGGCAGCCCTTGCGGAGAGTTTCTGGACTATACAAGAAAGTGGCAGGCGATGAGCTGGAAAGGGAGCTTGAGGCCAAAGTGGGTCCTGAAGCAGGAGTTTTCATTTAGGTTGGATAAATAACAGGGAGCCCTTCCAAGACTCATTTATTCAACAAATATGTACTGACTTCAACCCCTCCCCCAGAAGCTCCCCCAGGTGCTGTGCGAGCAGGGAGCACACGTTTCGGATGGCTCACAACCAGGGGCACCCAGGCTCCGCCCTGGGCCTCGGGGAGCCCCGCGCCAGCTACACAGGAAGATGAGGCTGCGGCCGGCTCCAGGCTGGGGGCCGGGCTGTGAGCTAGGCATGGCAGTAGGAAGGGGCCACTTTGTGGGTGAGGGCACTTGGCAGGGTCAGTCACCAGTGAGGTCCCCTTAGCCAAGTCCTCTAGCAGATGACACAGGGAAGAAGCATCCCATCAGTGACTGGAATGAAGGGCCAGAAAAATGGGGCAAAGAGAGGGGAGTCGGGCGGCAGAGGAATGAGCACCCATCTCCCCCCCACCTCAGCCTGCAGCATGCTCCGGTCACCGGTCAGCGTGGCGGGGGGACTCCCGCCCAGTGCTCTTCTGGTCTTCTTGCCCGTAGTCATCCTCCTCGTCCTGCTCTGTCTGAAGCTCTTTCACCTGCTTTGGAGCCTTCTGGTAGGCCGCCCGATTCCTGAGAGCAGTGAGGACAGAGGGGAAGGGTTTGCCCTCACTCAGGCCGGGAGAGCTGGGCCCAGTGCTCCTTATGGGAAGATCAGCCATCGGACCTGCCGCCCCTCCCCGCCCAGATGCAAAGGGACCCCGGGCTGGGGGGCTGGCTCGGAGTGGACGGGCAGGCGGCACAGACTTGCTCTGCTCATGAGCTCAGAGCGTTATAGGAACGGGCCAGCTCCGCCAGACCAGGAGGAACCAGCCCCTGGAGGGGGCCCCACCCGTGCTTGCCCCCGGACAGGCCACAGGAAGCCTGGGGAACTACGGGCCTTGCAGTCAGGCACCAGGACAGCAAGGCCACTTGGGGGCAGCTGTCCCCGGTGGTGGTGTGAGTGGCAAAGGCCATGAGGCGCTGTGACACGTCCTCGCCCTCTGCTCAGACCCTTGCCAACAGGCTGCCCGCAAACACTCACGGCGCTGTGTCCTCAGCCCTGCCCTCCTGCCGGCGGCAGCAGCAACAGAAGAAGACAATGCCAACGATGATGATGGCCGCAGTCAGGCCGCCGGCAATGCCCGCGTACAAGGCCACGTTCATGGAGGCTGCAAGAGACAGAGCAGGGCAGCGGCACCTCCCGAGTTCTGACCTGAGCCCAGGCATCTGGGGCTGGTGAGCCAGGGTGAGGGAAGCCTCTGGGCAGGCCCAGCCTCCCTCCCAGCCCAGGGAGGACTGTCGGCTTCTAGTAACACGCCACAAAGGGCATGGCCTTGCAGAAAGGTGACCAGGTAGGTCTAGAGACCACTCTTCAGGATGGAGGCGGATGCGAAGATGCACAGGCCAGTAGATCTGCGCCCACTCCCTGGGCAACCCAGGCTCCTGCCAAGTCCTCAGCTGTCAGCCATGCCAACTCCTACTCTAGCTCGTCCTTGAGCTGCTGGAGGTGACCCACCCCCCAAAATAAGGTCCAGGCTCCATGGCAGCTGACTCTGGACACTTCCCTCAGGCCCACTGAGTGGCCCTAAGGGCAGGCAGGGCTGAGCAGGTCTCCAGAAGTCAGTCTGAGGCTCTACTTCCAAAGAACCAAGGGAACTGGACTGACCTCTAGGCCGGGAGCATCTGGTTGAGGTCACCCCAGCTACCCTGCCAAAGAGGCTCCCGAATTCACCTCCACAACGTCTCTCTCAGCTGCCTCTTTGGACCCCAAGCCAGTGATCTTTCAGCCTCGGTCCACTCCCCTCCCCCCCCCCCCCCCCAACCCACTCTTACGAGGTCTGACAGCCACAGTGATGTTACAGGACTCGGTCCCCACCTCATTGCTGGAGGTGCAGATGTAACAACCCGATATATCTGTGGAGATGTTCTTCAGAGACAAGGTCTGGCCTGTGACTGGGAAGGAAGAACAGCAAGGGTGAGGAGCCCAGGCACCACAGGTCAGCGGAGACACCTAGGAATCTGGGAGCCTGAATTCCCAGGCAGACACGAGCACTGCGGCTGAACTTGTCCGAGCCTCCTCTGAAACATGGAGAGGGACAGAGTGTCCACCTCTAGGCCTCCCAAGACAGCTGCAGGCAGGATGCCCAGTTCTGAAGTACTCGGAATTCAGCCAGGCCCCCTGGTTCTGCCCCTGATTAATTCTGTGACGTTGGCCCGGGAACTTAGCTTCACTGAACCTTAGCTTCTCTATTTATAAATAACAAGAGTCCGTGGGAGGCACGCTAATAGCATAAAATGAGGTACTGATCAATGCAAGCCCACATCAGAACACCTGATGTGTAGTGAGTGCTCGGCAAACATAAAATACGTATGTATTACATGAAAATGCTTTCTAATTAGAAGATATGGTTATAACCACTTTTATGATCTTCTGAAACTGAGTCCTTGAGCTTGGACTCATGGAAGAAGTCCTTGAGAAATCAAGAATGGTCCAATAGTCCTCATGAGAAACCTTCCTGCTAAATCTGTGATCCTATGAATCTCTTCACCTTGAAAGGGAGAGCTTTATGCTTAGACATCTTTATATGCCCTGTCCTCAAAGAAGCTTTGTCATAACTGCTATCTTGAGTGGAGAGTTAGAGACCTTTTCCTCTAATCTGCGGCAGAGTTAGCCTCGTAAGATCCTGCTGCCACCAGGTGGTTGCATTTCATCCAGAGGAGATGTCTGACCTGGCAAGTGGCACCCAGTCACTGTACGGCTCCTAATCTCCAACAAGTCCAGGCTTTCTCTGACTGACTTATTTAGCTTAGTATTATACCTTCCAGCTCCATGTTGTTGCAAATGGCAAGATTTCATTCTTTTTTTATGGCTGAATAATATTATATTGCATACACATAACACTTCTTTATCCATTCATCAGTGGATAGACACTTGGGCGGCTTCCATAACTTGACTATTGTAAATAATGCTACTATAAACATAGGGGTGCCTGTATCCCTTTGAATTTGTGTTTTTGTATTCTTTGAGTAAATACCCAGTAGTAGGATTACTGGATCATAGTGTAGTTCTATTTTTCACTTTTTGAGGAAACTCCATACTGTTGTCCATATATGTGGAATTTAAGAAATAAAACAAGTGAGCAAAGGGAAAAAAAGAGAGACAAATCAAGAAAAAGATGCTTAACTCTAGAGAACAAACTGATGGTTACCATGGGGGAGGGTTAAACAGGTGATGGGGATCAGGGAGTACACTTGTGATGAGCACCAGGTGATGTGTGAAAGTGTTGAATCCCTATATTGTACACCTGAAATTAATATTATACTGTGTGTTAACTAACTGCAATTAAAATAAAAACGTTAAAAAAAAAATAACAAGTCCAAGCTTCTTAATGCCATCACAGTGTTACAGATCTGGTCCTGCAATCACCTCAGCTTTATCTCTTGCCAGTTCCCCTGCTGTGCGGCGCCCCCCTTGTCCCACCTCCAATCTCTTGCCAGATTGTATCTGGTGCGGATTTCCCTTATCTGGATGTGCTACTCTGTATACTTCCTCAGATGTGATCTCTTGTGATTTTGTCAGCCATCTTGTATGGGAAGTGGGACAAATATTCAATCTCCAATGTCACAGAGGTAACTGGAGTCTTCGAGAAGTTAAGGTACTCGCCGAATGCCACAAAATTAAGAAATGATAAAGCGTAACAAAAATCCCGTTTTAGGTCTAGAACTCTCTGGAGCAGTTGACAATTTTCTTTAAAAAATATGTATTACACAAACAATGCAGGTTCATTATAAGAATTTGTACATGATATGAAGCTATTATTTAAATCAATCCAGTCCAGAAAACCTTTAGACGCTTGATCACCATGACCCTAAAGAAGGTGAAGACAGTCTCTGTCCTGGCCTGAGGGTTGGCAGACAAGAAACCAGGATGATCACAGGATGATTAGAGTTAGAAATGGAAATGCTATTTGAGTTTATAGCAAGGGAGTTTAATCTCATCTGAAGGGTCAGGGAAAGCCGGTATAAAGAACAGAGAATAAAATAAAATCATCCATAATTTCACCAGCTAGAAATAACAGCTGATGATTTGGGTTATTTTCTTCCAATCTTTTTCTATGTACTTTCTTCAGATTCTTCCCTTGAAACCCCCAGCTGTATCTTCTGGATGCTCATTCTCTATATGCTTCTACCCTAGAATTTCATGCCTCCGAATGTTTTCTGGAATATTGCTTACATGTGACATTAACATACAGTACTAAAAAAGCAGTCCAAGACCAAAGCAAATTTCGACATCATTGAGAGAGGGTTAAATACATTTTTTAACAACAGAACTCTTAGAGCTTCTAATTTGCTAATGAGCACTGGGTGTCCCTAAATGGAGGTTATAGCAATAATGGTCTTCTTTCCTTTTAAAATTTTTAAAAATTAAAGTGAGTTAACATACAGTGTATTATTAGTCTCAGGGGTAGAATTTAGTGATTCATCAGTTGCATATAACACCCTCTGCTCATTACCTCCTGTGGCCTCCCCAGTGCCCATCACCCAGTTACCCCATTCTCCCCCCCCACCTCTCCTCGGTTTGTTTCCTAGAGTTCAGCATCTCTTATGATTTGCCTTCCTCTCTGTTTTTCTCTTATTTTCCCTTCCCTTCGCCTATGTTCATCTGTTTTGCTTCTTAAATTCCACATATGAGTGAAATCATATGATAATTGTCTCTCTCTTGACTTATTTTGCTTAACATAATACCCTCCAGTTCCATCCACATCATTGCAAGTGGCAAGATTTCTTTTTTTTTTGATGGCTGAGTAATATTCCCTTGTATGTATATACACCACATCTTCTTTATCCATTCATCTGTCAGTGGACATCTGAGCTCTTTCCACAGTTTGGCTATTGCAGACCTTGTTGCTATAAGCATTGGGGTGCAGGTGCCTAATGGAATCACTGTGTCTGTATCCTCAGATCATGGTGTCACATCTGGGATTCTGCCCCACTTTGCCACCTGAGCACCTTTAAACCAGGCACATCCCCCACCGCAGTGGACTTCTAAAAGTTCCGATTTTGCACTCCGCAGCTTATAATGCTTTGTAGTAGCCTCCTTAAGCAGGCTCCCTCCCTGCTGCCATATACTCAGCTATATCACACTGGAATCAGGTCTCTGCACCTCCTAACTTCCAAGTGGCGGTCTCTTTTCTACTTGTAGACTTGCAGTATTTGTTTTCTCAGAAACTCCAATTGATTTCTTAGGTATTCAGAATGATTTCATAACTATCTAGTTGTATTTGAGGGATGAGACAAACTTAGGGTCCCCCTACTCCTCTGACATCTTAACTCCTCCCCCCTAATGGTCTTATTTTCTAAACTAATTGGATTTTTTTTTTTTTATTTTTAAGAGGCATCTTGGGGCACCTGGGTGACTCAGTCGGTTGAGTGTCCAACTCTTGATTTCGGCTCAGGTCATGTTCTCAAGGTTGTGAGACTGAGCCGTGTATCAGGCTCCACATTCAGCACGGAGTCTGCTTGGGATTCTCTCTCTCCCTCTCCTTCTGACCCTCCCCTGCTCTCTCTCTCTCTCTCAAATAAATAAATAAAATCTTAAAAAAAAATAGAGATTCAGCCTATGTGTAAAGGTGTACACAGCACATTGCAGACCGATCACGACAGAAGCTTCAGACTGCCTCCAGGACCTTTCCGGTTATCAGAGCCCAGCTTTGGATTCCGGGCCTTGTTCCCCAAAGGAAACGGTGGACGTTAGAAGCTGGTCTGGAATTAACCAGTGCATATGCAGTGCCACAAGATCTGCTCTGACTCTGAGCTGGGGCTCCCAAGCCCCTTTTCCTCTTGGAAAGAACCTAATACAGTTTCTGAAATCCGGCTAACGCTGATTTCGCTGCAGTGGCGACACCTTGTGGTCAAGAAGAGGAACGCACAGGACCGTCAGCCTCCCACTTCCCTGGGCTCCAGCTGGGGAGATTTCCGCAGAGAGAAACCCCCGTCTCCCAGAGGCACTGATGTCAAATTGGCAAGATTTAACTTTCCTGTCCCCGGCCGCTCTCCACCCCCACAACCCTGACCCTACGGCTGCCACCTTTTACTCAGGATGTTCAAGATCCTCCTTAGCTGCAGGGCACATACCCTTTGACCCTTCAAGAACCTCCTCCTCTAAAGTGCTCTAGCCCCCAGAATTACCCCTCCCTCCTTCCTTGATATCCAAATTCCTCCTCTTTTAGTGCCTGAAGTTCAGCTGCCTTACAAAGGATATTCAGAACTATCACACATGGGATCTCCTCTTTCCTCTTCCCAGCCTTCTGGGTTTTCATCCCAGGGTTTTCAGATGAGGATTCTAAGGGTCAGAGAGGCTGTGAGTGACTTACAGCTACAAGGTAGAAACATAAGGACTGAAATTCTTATTTACTAATTCCAGAGTCCCTGTTCTTTTCGCTGCTGGCTTGTTTCCATTGATTACTAAATGAAAGGAAGCAATATCTACTGCCTTCAGATAGAGAAGGGTGGAGGAACCCTACTCTCAAACTGTCCACTGTGGACTGAAATGTTTTAAAAAAAAATCAGAACTGGGTTTGTTCTGACTCTGGTGCTCCGTGAGGCAGGTGGAGTCCGAAGGCTCTGAGAACGAACTCCACCCCATTCCATCCAACACCAGATGCAAGCTTGCCTTGCTTTTACCATTACCCACACTCTTGGCTGGCACTCCCGGATCTGGACTCTGTCTCTGAGCAAACCTTAACTTGAAGCAGGATGAAGCTTTTACAAAGTAAGCACGTGAGTCTCCCTTTGACCTTCTTTCATGTCCTCAGGTTTCTCCCCTTTCAAATCACTGAAAGACGAAGGTTTGGCTTCCAATAATTGGAAGTCTTTCCTGATGGAGGCTGGAGAGCATGAGCAGGGCAGTCATCTGTGATGCCCCTCAGAAGGTGCCTGGGGTTGCAGGGCAAAGGCCAGCCTCTCTGGCCCCATGCACAGGTTCTTCGTCGTCCCCCATCGCTGCTTTTCATAAAGCGGTACCCCCTCCTCCCTGCAACGCATGCTCCCTACCCTCGGCTGCACAGAATACTCGCGATTCCCGGGATATTTGCCATGCCTACCCTGCTCATCCTTAAGGATCTAGCTCACGTACCACATAGTTAATAACACCTAGCGTTAAGGAGTTCCATCTACCTACCAGGCATGGTCTCCATGCTTTACATGTTCTTTTATTTAATCTTCACAGGAACTCTGTGAAGTAAGTACTAGTGTTATGCCCATTTTACAGATGTAGAAACTAAGGCACAGAGAGGCTATTGCCATGGTCACACAGCTAACAAGTGGCAAGGCCAGGGTTCAAGCCCACACTAGGCTCTTAGCCACCTGCTATCTTGCTCCCTCAGGGGCCCCCTCCTTGGAGAAGCCTTTCATGCCCTTATGCACCCCCTGGTTTACAACAGCCCGGTTATAAAACTAGCACGGCGCTCACCATGTAATCTTCGGCCTTGGCTCTCCCTATCCAGCCTTTGCTGGAAGGGCCAACCAGCCATTGTCCGCGGCAGACCTTGATGACCATTGCTGGAGTCACCGGGTCGTGCACAGGCAGGGCCCGTCAAACCCAGAGGAGAGCTGCCAGGTGGTTTTCAGAAATTCCAGACACACTCGATAGCAATTCGCCAGCCAGAAATTTGTCAACAAAACTGGAAACTTGTTGAAATCCACAATATCCTTTCTAATTTACATTGGAGTGAGTGGGGTTTATTTATTACTTTTAAGAAGTTCTCGTTTGGCCCCCAGGTGAGTGAAGGACAGACCGACAAAGATCGTCCTTGTTTGACCAGAGCCCAGCCTGTCCATTCACCAGTGCGTCTCCACCCTCTGCTTCCCTCCTGGCTGCCCACTTCCTCCTCACCCACACCGAGCAGAGAGGCCGCCTGGAAGTTAGGCCAGCCAGCAGCTTTCAGACCTTGTCTGTTCTGATCTCCAGGAGCGCTGGCTGCGCCAGGGGCTACTGGGGCCCAAAGATGCCACTGAGGTATCGCCCCCCACCAGTGGGCACCAACGTAATGACAGTAAGATATTTATATAGGGTTGTTTTGTTTTGTTTTTCAGTTTGTTTCCTGACCAAAGGTCAAAGAGCAAGCTGCCCAGTACAAAGCAGGTCTCCAGGCCACCGCCACTGAACCTAACATCTCCTTCCCTGAGACTGAGGGACCCTTACGGCACACCTGGTCGTGCAGGGGCTGTGGCCACAAACAGAGGGCAGGTTTGGGAAGGAGGGCTTCCGTGGAGCCTGAGCTGGACCAGCCTGGATGGGGCATTCCCGATGGGAATTCCCGCCCTTGAGTGGAACCACAGAGCTAGGCTTGAGGCCTTGAATGTATACTTTAGGACATGATCACAGTCAAAATGAAAACCCCACTTGGGCTTTTGCACGGAGTGGCCATCCAGACGTGCTTATTCAAGGAACTGAGTTGTGCGGAACAAAGATAACAGATGAAGATTTATTATGCGCTTCCACGGAGTGCTTTATGTGACTCACTTTTATTTTCCACAACAACCTATGAGATGGGGATTATCATGAGAAGACTCAGAGATGCTGCAGGGGGAGGAGGGCAGGGGAGGAAAAGGGCAGCCCTTCAGGGAGACCTGACTGGTCAGGCCAGGATCTCCCCTGGCAGCCCTAGCATTTGGGGTGGGGGCTTGCATTTGGGGGTGGGGGCCTGTCCTCCCCACTGACCCTGTTACCTGCTGGTGTTGGCCGCTCCTGGTTCAGGGCATCATAGCTCTTCCAACTGTACTGAGGGGCCGGAGAGCCCTCCTTCGATTGGCAGGTCAGCTGGATGTCATTCCCAATCACGGTCTCTCCCTGGACGCCGCAGTCTGGTTTGGAGGGCGGCACTACACAGGGGAAGGACCAGAGTGAAGGCACGCATCAGGTGGGGCGTGGTGACAGCCACCTCCCACCTCGGACACACACTCCTACTGCTCTGTTTGTCCTCAGGCAGAGAAATTCATAGCCAACGGGTGAGAAATAGTCCTGCAAGGTCAATCCACCGCAAAATATCTCCTCAGTGGCCCTGTCACCATCACAGAGAGGCAGCGCGCACCTACATCAGGAAGCATCCTGAATGCAAGATTAGAGTCCCCACCATTAGAAATGGTGGGGATACTGAGGCCCAGAGAGGAGACTGGGTGGGACTGGAACCCAGGTCTTCTGACTCCACATCCAGTGATCTCTCCACCAGCCCAGGAGAGCTCCTTCTGATGTTGGCTCATCTGTGCCATTTTAGGGAAACCTTGCAGTCCCCCAGTGTTCCCATCTGTAAGATGAGGGGACAACGGAATTTCTGTAAAGGGTCAAAGGTAATATTTTAGATGTTGTGGGCCACGTTATAGTCTCTGTCACTGTTTCTATGGTTTCAATAACCCTTTATAAATGTAAAAACCATTCTTGGCTTGCAGGCCATGTACAGAGGCCCAGGCTGGATTTGGCCATGTCTGCCTGCCCCTGGGTTAGGGAAAGGTCCCTCTCTCTGAAGCCCTTCAACTCAGACTTCTTAGGAAGGTTCCCTTTGTGTTAAGCATTGCCCTTGTCCTGGGTTTTGCTGAGAAAAATGCAACTATTTGGAGTGGCTGGGTGATTGGAGAGACCCCAGGTGGTAGCAGAGTTGCATGCTGGGTGAGAACGAGGTCCGAAGGGGTGGGGGTGGGGGCAGAAAGGAAGAGACAAGGAAAGGGAAGCCTACAGAAAGGAGGTTACAGAAACCAACCGGCCCCTCCCCTCACAATCCTGACGCGATCTCCCACAATTCCCGAAGATCTTAAGCTGGTGCCATTTGCTTGGCATTGCCGTAGGATGGCTCATCCTACACCACTGGGTAGGATGGCTCATTCTACAAACCTTGTTGGGCACTTCCTGTATGTCTGAGACCGCTAGGCACTGGGATGACATAGTGAGTGAGTTCCTGTGTTCAAGGAGTCCAGTGGGGGCAAAAGACAAGTAACTGGACCATGACCAGGCAGGAGGCAAAGCTGCGGGGGCGGGGAAGGCACACTGACCCCCACAGCCTGGGCTGTGACCTGGAGGAAGAGTGAGAGTAAACAAGGCCAATAGTGGACGTGGTGGTGGTCAGAGAGAGGTGAGGGCCCTCCACACAGAGGGAAGAGCGTGCAAAGGCCCTGAGGCAGGAAGAAGCATCAGGTATGCTTGAGACTTCAGGTAGTGCCCTTGGGGCTGGGAGTGGGGAGAACATACAGTGCAGAGGGCTATTACTGAATCCCCTGTGGCAGGCCTGTCCCCTCCACCTCTTTCTTCAGACCCCTGGATGGTCCGCTTGCCCTGGTCAGTAGCGCCACCCATTGTACCATCCAGACTGCACGGATGCATGGTCACTGAGCATGCAGAGTGGCACAGCCCCCCCCCCCGCCCTCGAGTGGCTGGGGGAAGCTACCCAGGATGCACCCGGCCGCCGCTTCTGGTTTTTCTCTGAGACAGGCAAGGGGTTCTTGGGTGTGTGTGCCCCACAGCTCCTTCTCTCCTGAGGGCCACCAGGTGTGGGACAAGCGTGGAGAAAATAACAGCACCCCCCCCCACACACACACACCAGCCCCTGCTGCACAGTCCCTAAACCTAAGAGGCCCAAGCTTGGTTCACAAGCCACCTTTTTATATCCTGGTCCAGGCCCCAGGGACTGAAGCAGCCTGGGCAGGAAGAGACTGCTGCCTTCGGACCACTCTGACAAGCAGCCGTCTGCCCCGCGGGCCCGGCAAACAGGTACAAGCAAAGCTGAACACTGCTTCCCCAGAGACTGGCTCTAGGTCAGGGTTGATGAGCCAAGTTTGCCTCCTGAACTCTCCAGAGGTGCAGGAACAGCCCTCTCCACGCATGAAAAGCACTCAGCCTGCTTCCCAGGTATGCCTTGACCAGGGGGCTACAACTTTCCCAGTTAGAGAGCCCGCCGGAACTATGATACCCCCAAATTAGTGTCACATGGAGTCAGCCTCATACTTGGTGTGCATGACCATTGTCAAGCCTTTCTGTGACCAGCCTTCTCTGGGATCCGAGACAAAAAGGAGAGAGAACAGACCAAGGCAAAGGAGCATTTAGCATCTAGAGAAACATAAAAAAGCAAGCTGGACATATCCGGAGGCTAGCTTTGCCAGGAGAAATTACTAAGGCAAAGCCGTCATGCACTCTGGAGGCGGCAGTAGAGCTAACAAGAGACCAGTCTTACGAAGGAGTGTGTCAGGTTTTTGTCCGTACCTCCCCCAACACACACACACACACACCTGGGGCCCTTACCCTCGGCCCCCAGGCTGTCCTCCCACCCCAGCTCACGCTAGGCACACCCCCCCAACTCTGTCCCGATCTTCTCTAAGGATTCCTTCCCCAGCCCCCCACCATCACAACCAGCGAAGACCTCGAATCAGCTCTAGTTCAAACAGCCCCTCCTGCGGGGCGGTGAGGCCTGCGGGGCTCCCGGAGATCTAGGGTTCTGGGTGGCCTCTTCTTACCCCCCAGACTGAAGGCGGCTGTACCTGGAGCCTTCGGGACTGGGCACCGCGCCGCTCCAAAGCCTGCGCCTCCCGCTGCAGACGCCAGGCGGCGCCAGAGGCCGGGGAGCCGCCCGGTCCCGCCCCTGCCCCAACCCCCCCGGAGCGCCGCGTGCGGGGGGGGGGGAGGGGGGGCAGGGCCAGGTGGCTTCCCCCTGGTGACCCGCCCTGCGTGCTCAGCCCCCGTCCGAAAGCTCTCCGCTCCCTCAGTTTACTGTGAGGTCGCCCAGCCCCGTGTGGGCGGCCCCGTATAATTAAAGCCCTTCTACCTAAAAATAGCCCAGTAGCAAAAGCCTTTTGGAAACAAAACTTTCTTTTAAAGATTTTTACTGGATTTCTGAACAGAGAGTACAAAAATGATTTCTCTCTCTCTTTCTTTTCCTCTCTCTCTCTCGTTGTAAAGCAAAACACTGAGTTCCGTAATCTCTGATTCAACTTGTGTCTTTGCCCTCCTAGTTAGTTAGTTCCTGTCTTAAAATGAAGCTGGCCATGGGAGGGAAGGAGGAATCGGACATTCACACGTAAGTGGGGTCTTGCTGCCTTTCCCCCAACCAGCTTGTTGCCAAAGGAAAGTGGGAGCTACTTAAGGGAAGCCAGAAGGAGACAGAATCAGCCAGAAAAGGACCAGATCCGGAGAAGTGAGGAATGCAGCTAGGGGTCAACCAGGGCCATGGGTTTGGAGGAAGACCTACAGAATAGAAACTAAATAAAAACGTGCATTTTCTTGGCCTATAATATCTGTCCAAGGAGCTAACGCAAATAAAAATTAAGAGCTATGTACACAAAACAATTTGTTACATTATTCATAATGGCTTTGATTGGAACAGGCTGAAGGTTCAGCCAGGGACAGGGGACTCTATCCACTCAACCAAGTGGCAGGGAGCCTAAAGGACTGTAGGTGCTAAGACAGCGGAAAGCACTACCTGGTGAGAAATGAAAAGAGCCAAGTACCAACCCATTCGGCTACAAACTCAGTTATGGACATGAATAAGCATGTGCACAGGAGCCGGAAGTCAGCGTGGACAAATATAAAACCTAGTGATACGAGTGAATGTTTTTCTTTTTTAGTTTCTCTCTCTCTCTCTTTTTTTTTTCCTAATTAGTATTTTTAGGAGGGCAAGGCAAACACAGTTATTTGTTTGTCTGCGTTTGGACCAAGGTTGCTATAGCGGCAGGTGGGAAGAGCAGAGCTCCATTTCAACAACTAACAGCCTTCTGTGCGCTACAGATCTCCACCTGAGGGGCCCTCCAGAGAGCAGGCCCCCTGCTCTAAGGGTCCTGGGTAGACAAACACATCAGGCACCCCAGCTAGATTGGGAGCAACTAAAACACGGCTATAAAAATGCTAGAAGATGATAATGTGTGATGGCGACAGCCTCGTCCATGAGGTGAGAGGGGCTGTGAATGTTCGTTCCTAAAGGTCTAAGACCATCAAGAGCCCCCGCCGTGAAAACCCAGAGACAATGAGGCATGCACTCATGGGGCAATGGGGCTTCCATCTCCAGGACCCTAAGCAAAGACCTCCCACGTGGAAGAGCAGGTACAGAACCTCAGTTATCAATGAGTGATGTGTCCAAGATGCAGGTGCTCTGTGGACAAATGAGGGCAAATGGCATATCCGGAACTGGCTGGGCTCTGCCCCGCCAACCTTCTGTTGGCATGGATCCAGGAAGGGCAGAGCTCAAGTTACTGCCGGGGCCAGCTAAAACATCACTGGCAAGCTTACGTCTGCTATCAACTGACAGAGAGTGTACTTTGAAAAGGTAAGTAAACCTAGAAGAATTTGGGAATCATCCTCAACTGGATCAATTACTGGCCGGGGGTGGCAGGCTTACATGGCGGAGCAGTGCAGGGCTTTGCATTTGGGCCATCCTGTTTTGACAGAAGCTTGTACACTTTCTACAGGTGTCTCGAGCCTCAGTGTTCTATTAAACGTGTTAATACCCACTTCCACAGATGGATTGCAGAGATTAAAAGAGACCATAAATGTAAAGCTCTTAGATGCCTGGCGCATACCTGGTCCTCAGTAAATGGGAACTATTATGACCATGAATTTGTGGCAACTTTCCCACAGACCAAGGTCATTGCAAGTTGATGGTAGTTTTTCTCTCTATTTAAGATAAAACCCCTCTGTTTTCAGAGCAGGAGGACACAGAGAAACGGGAAATTTGGCTACATGGATGGGTGCAGGGTTGTGAAAGAGGTCCTGTGCCTTCCTTCTACAAACCAAAAAAAAAGGGCTCTGCATCTGTCCACGGGAGGCCTGGAATTCTGTTAGAGATCCCTTGTTATTGAAGGTCATTAAATCTGAAATACTTCTTCCTAGATGAGAGGACTTAATCTTTTTAATATGTCATTCCTTTGCAAATTAATTTGTAAGTTGACCATAATTCCAATCAACTTCTATTTTTAACTAAGCAAAGTGATTTAAAAAATTAACATGGAAGAATAAATGTGTAAAAATTGACAGAATTTTTTTTGGAAAAGTTTAGTAACAGAAGATATTACACAGTGCCAGGTATTAAAAGCCAACTATTCAAACACTGATAGCTCTAACTAAAAAAACAAAAACAAAACAAAACTAGATAGAGAGATAGATATGTCTATATATATATATCAACACTGAGTATAAACATACTGTAATCAAAACCATGTAATATCAGCATAGGAATAATCAAAAGAAAAGTGAACAAAAAAAGGAGTAAGAAAGCAGCCATTCTGTGTAAGAACTTCCTGTGTGACAAAGCTAGCATCCCAGTGGGATGATCAGTGTTTCTTTGGTACAGTGAATGATGCTGATGCAATTGGCTATCCATGTGGAAGAAAACAAAGTTAGACTCCTAGCATCCTATTTACAAAAATAAATTCCAGGTAAAATAAAGGTCTAAGTGTAAAAAATAAGGCTTAAAGACATAAAAAAAGAACATTAAGTTCATTTTTATACTCCCAGAGGTGGTGGTACATGACAAGGGACCTCAAACACGTGATAGAAAACATCAGCATGATACAGATCGGGATTTCTCCTGTGCCTCAGAATTTCCACTACAACCTCCAGGGGAGTAAGTGTCCTCAGTATTAAGGAGAAGCATGAGAAACATCCCAGCAGCCTTTCCAAGAGCGAATCCTTAGGTTATCAGTGACCCTCCTCCCACCCAAGCAAGAGAAGCCTGGAGGTTCAGCAGGAAGGAGATCTCTTTGAAGAGGACGCTTAGGAATAAGGACCCATGAGCATTTCCTCTCCTTCTCTTGGGGGAAGAGAAGGAGGTATTTCCCCCATCTCGGGTCAAGCCAGGGAGGCACCAAAAGAATCCGACATGGAGACTGGGGTTCCCTAGTGTTGGGAGCTGACATCTCTCATTCTCTGGCTGAGGCTCACTGAGTGACAGAAACCTGTAAGTTCTTCAAGTGCTGATCCTGCAGCATGAGGATGGAAGGGCTCTATAGATACCTCTGGGTCCCTGGGGATCCCCCTGAGGACTGTGGTGCCTGCCTGTTGCCAAGAGAAGCAAGAGAAGCCGGCTGGAGCAGGCTGCAATGGCAGGGTGGGGGTGCAGGCTGATTCATGTCATGAAGGGGGTTGTGCCCAAATGGGGGTAGTGAAGCTCATTAGTGGCTAGATTAACATTTTGATTTAGACTGCACTGAATTTTTTCTCACCTAACAAATTAACAAAATTTACAAAAATTAAAAAGATTGATAACATTCAGTACTGGTAAAGATATGGGAAAACAGGCGTGCTCATAAAATGCCATAGCAATGTAAGTTGCTTTGAGGAACGTAGTTTGTCGGTATGGATTAATATTTAATGAAGGCATCGTCTTTGACCCAGAAATCCTACTTTTAAGAATCTATCCAATAGAAATATAAACAACAGAGTGGAAGAATATCTATATATATCAGTATTGTTCACACACAAAACTGGAAACAGCCTGAGGATATCCATCAGGATGGAACACTTGAATAAATCATAGTACATCCACGTGATGGAATGTATGCTGCTAACAGGTAGATCTATAGGTATTGATCTGGAGAAATATGCATGAAACATTACCCAAAAAAATATTGCCAAGTGATCTTTATAATATGATCTCTCTTTTTTTTTTCCAAAGGAAAGGAAAGAAAGAAAAAGTGTGTGTGTGTGCATGCACACTTGCATAGTTGAAAAGGACGTGGAGAAAAGTATGGAGGAATATTACCATTGGCTACCAGGCTGGTGGTAAGATGGAAGGAGATGGTTAATTATTCTCTCTTCGGGGCTACATTGTTTGATTGACACAATGCTTCAAAAAGCCAGGCAGCCACTTCCCGCAATTTAAAAAAATCCCACTAAGGAGTATAAATGGAAAAAATAAAGGAAAAATGATCCATCATTTTGGTTTAAAGCATTGCTACCTTCCAGGGTGGAGGCCATTCCTTATATTGGACCTAGAGGAGCCATTCATTAAAATGCATCCAGTAACTGACTGAGTCAGGTGCCTACTTTCTCTGGGCCTCATCTACAAAATGAAGATACTAAAGTAGGTGATTGTTCCGAATCTTCCAAAACTATAAGCTCCAACAATAAGTTATCTGTATGAAGAGAATGTCATCTTGGGACATATTTCAAAGGTAGTAGAGCCTGATCTTCGGTGTGTGGTTGGGGCCCAGGGGTGGAGAGATGCTGGTGTGAAGGGTTTCTACTGATTAGCTGGATTTATGACGGGGAAGTTCACAATCTGGCTCTCAGCACCAAAGGAAGGCCCGGTGAGAGTGCTTATTTAGGATCTAGGATTTCTCTTTTTCTTCTCCCTAATAAGTTTGCGATGAAAAGGAAGGGAGCTGCATTATGGGGAAGAGCGCTGGATAGAGCATGGGCAGAATTTCCCAGGCTAACCCCAGGGCCACTCCAAACCAGCCTTCTCCACTGCCCTGGAACTGTGTGCCATTGGTGGGCCACTCAGAATAGTCTTCGGTTAAAAAGGGAAGAGCTGCCCCCTGCCCAGGCAGATGGGATGAGGGGAGGAGTCTGAGCTCCTGGTCAGGTCTGGCTGCCTCTGACTTTACCTTCCCACAAGGGCGCTTCTTCTCTGAGCACGCCTCCCTGCCCCACCTCCCTGCCACCCCAGGAAGGAGACAGAGACGCTCACCGAGGACCAAGAGCCGGATGCGTGACTTCGAGGTTCCCACCAGGTCTGACATCAGGGAGACTGAGCACTCGTACGTGCCGTTGTCATCCATGGTCAGCCGGTCAATGGTGATGGAGGCGTCTGATTGCTCAGCATTGCTCGATATGTTGACGCGGTTCTTGTAAAGTTCACCATAGATGTAGCTTTTCAACGAAAATTGCCAGGTGAGCACCCTTTCCTGGGAGGAAGAAGAAACACCACTTGGCCTTACCCCAAGTCTTGGCATGGTGCTTTCAGCCTGTGCTGAGTAGCCTCATCCACCATTTCCCAGGCCCAAAGGGCTGACTCAGCAACCCCTCAGAAGAAACAGCTCTAATATGTAGTGCCCATTTGTGGGTTCCTCTTATAATGTATGTGTCCTTTTAATGAAAATACTAAAAGACCAGGGCAGATAGGCAGTTCATAACACAGAAGCACAGATGGATAAAGGGCTTTCTCGGATCCCCACACCTTCACCTCTGGTAACCTCTGGCATCTCTCTTACCCATTCGATTTCAAACTGTTCTCACTCATTCAGACAACCAGAGTTTAATGAGCACCTATCACGTGCCACACATTGTGCTAGGCGGCCGCCATTGGCTTCCAAGCCCACTTTATTTACTTGACTCTTACCTTTGGAATTTATTTATTCACTGATCTACTCATTGTTTACCAAAAAGAACATGAAACTGGCTAAGATCACTACTTTCTAGCCAAACTGCCCAAGTACAAATCCCAACTCTGCCACTTACTAGTCATATGACCTTGAGCAAAATGTGACTCCATTTCCTTTTCTACAAAATGGAGATAAAAACAATAACACCTATTTTATACAATTTTTGTGAGGATTAAAGTATATATGCAAAACAGTTCGGGCATTGCCTGACACGGTAGGTTTGCTGTTAAGTGCTAGACATCATCGCTATTGAGCGTGATATTCAAAGATGAATAACTCATGATTTCTGCCCTCAAAGGATAAATGTTATGACACCCTATGATTAGCTACGGGGCCTCAGAATAGAGGCATTACATCTAAACTGGGAAGTATGGGAAGGCTTCCTGGAAGAGTTCCCAGAAGACAGTGGCTTGGATCCTGAAGGACAAAGGAGAACCGGCCAGGCAAAGGGCTAGGGGGTTGGAGTGGTGCACGTTGCAGGAGGACAGATGTATTTGGCATTTTAAGCAAAGGGAGAACATTGAAGAAAGACCTAGGAGTGGGAAGCTCTGGGTCAACCCCAAGTGGTTCAGTATGAATGGAGGTGAGTGTGTGAGGGTAGGTGGAAGATGAGCATGGGCAGGTAGTAATAAGGATCATAGGTGCTCTTTACTGAGTGTGTGCTCTGTGCTGGGTACTATTCCAAGCACTTTGTGTGTATTATCTCACAACACTGCCATGATGGAGGTATTATGATTACACCCATTTTACACATGAGGAAACCAAGGCACCAAGAGGTTAAGTACCTCTCCCAAGTTCACGTGGTTAACCAAATGGCAGGGCAGGGATTTGAACCAGACATCTGGTTTCAGAGCCCGGACCCTGGCGATTCTGCGTTGCCAGACTGCAGGCACTGTGTATACGGGACTGAATCGGTTACACTTTATCCTGAAAGCACTAGAGAGCCATGTATTTTAGGAAGTCAACTCTCAGCACAGGGTGGGAAATGAATTAGAAGGAGAAGCAAAGGCAGTTAAGAAATGAGTTGAGCAATTCAGATGAAAAACGATGGGTCTTTGGATCAGGCTGTGGCAGTGCAGATGGGAAGGATGAAGTGAATTTGGGGAGGGTGAACAGGGTAGACCGATGGGACTGGGAGTCAGGGAGTGGCAGACCTCAAGGGGGAGGGTCTTTGGCCTGAATATTCCGGGTATACAGTGATGTCACTTCCAAGAGAAGAAACACCTAGACAGAGAATGTTTTAAGAAAAAATGATGCATTCTGTTTAATAGGTGATGTGCCTGAAGTGTCGAAGGGACACCCCGGTGGAGCTCAGTAGGAGTGGATAGGGCAGCTGAGTGCACCTGGGAATGAAGGTTTGGAAGTCAGTGACTTAGATATTAACTGAGCCATGGGCTGGAGGAGGCCACCCCAGGTAAATGAGTATGGCATGCCAAGTCCCCAGCACACTTCATTCTGAAAGGTCGGGGAGAGCTCAGATGGATCAGAAGAAAACCCAAGATGGGACTGCCAAAGAGCCAAGGGAGGAAGATTCCGAGATGGGAAAGTGGTCGATAGTGGGAAATGCTAGCGAGAGATGAAACAAGGGGAAGCCTTAATGAGTACATTGAATCAGCAAAAGTTGCCAGTGACATCAGTGGGTTGGTAGAGGCCAAAGGCAGAGCAGGCTTGGGTAGAGAAGGGAGTGTGGAGACACAGTGCAGGTCTGATGCTGCACAGGTCCTTTGGGCAAATTAGGACAAGGTGCCCTAGTTTTTGGATCGACACAGCCTGTGCCAGGGCACGCGAGTTGGCTACTGGAGTGCAGGCTCCCTGGGCTGGGTACCCTTGTGCAGGGCATAACTGCAACTGCCCTGGGAGGGGCCGGTAACCCTCGGGAAGCTTGGCTGAGAAGGGGAGGAGCATCAGGGCGGGAGAGGAGGAGGTGTCTTGAGCTGAGGACCAGCCCACGAATGCAGATCCTTCCCAGCTCAGCTCTTTTCTGACGGGCTGGCTCTGCCTGGGGCTCTTGATGCCCCAACCTTTCTCCTAAACACAGCTATCCCAAGGCTTCCTCCCTGGATCCTGCACCCCCGCCCCCTTGCCCGGACCTGTCACAATAATCTCCTTGAGGATACAGATTTAATCCCTTCTCCGCACCCTTGCTTACTCTCAAGGGGATTGCCTCAAATCCTTTTGGAAGTGGGGGATCCATCAGTCAACAGAAGAACTTTAGTGTTTATTAAGCACTCAGAAAAGTGCCTCATGAGACCTTACATCTGGTTGGCTGAATACATGTGATGGTGAAAGAGACAGCCTTCAGTTTGTTCAAGCTAAAAGCTGCAGCTTCCCTCTCTAGGTTTTACCCTGAGATTCTGGAAATAGATAAGACCTGTGCCCATGGCCCATCAGGGTCCCCAGGGCAATAGACAACAGGGTGCATCAGGCAGGATTTACTCTCCTTCCCCTGGGTCCTGCTGCTCTAGGCCTTGGGTGTCCTGGGTCACCCCTTCTTTCCTGTCAGGGAAAAAGGTAAATGCTTTCACTCTGGGTATTCCAGGGACCTAATGCTTACCTCTGGCAGGCACGTTTGCATTTTTTGTTTCTTTTTTCTTTCTTTCTTTCTTTCTTTCTTTCTTTCTTTCTTTCTTTCTTTCTTTCTTTCTTTCTTTTTTTTTTGTTATTAAGTAGGTCCACACCCAGCATGGAGCCCAACACGGGGCCTGAACTCAAGACCCTGTGATCAAGACCGGAGCCAAGATCAAGAGTCCAGGGCTTACACTGAGATAACACCTTACACCAGTTAGAATGGCAAAAATTAACAAGGCAGGAAACAACAAATGTTGGAGAGAATGTGGAGAAAGGGGGAAAGCTCTTACACTCTTGGTGGGAATGCAAGTTGGTGGGAATGCAAGCCACTTTAGAAAACAGTATGGAGGTTCCTCAAAAAGTTAAAAATAGAACTACCCTATGACCCAGGGACTGCACTACATGGTATTTACCCCAAAGACACAGACGTAGTGAAAAGAAGGGGCACCTGCACCCCAATATTCATAGCAGCAATGTCCACAACAGCCAAACTGTGGAAGGAGTTGAGATGCCCTTCCACAGATGATGGATAAAGAATATGTGGTCCATACATACAATGGAATATTACTCAGCCATGAGAAAGGATGAATACCCACCATTTGCATCGACATGGATGGAACTGGAAGGGATTATGCTAAGTGAAATAAGTCAAACAGAGAAAGACAATTACCATACGGTTTCACTCACATGTGGAACATAAGGAATAGCATGGAGGACATTAGGGGAAGGAAGGGAAAATGAAGGGAGGGGACTCAGAGTGGGAGACGAACCATGAGAGACTATGGACTCTGAGAAACGACCTGAGGGTTTCAGAGGGGAGGGAGGTGGGGGATGGGGTAGCCAGGTGATGGGTATTAAGGAGGGCACGTACTGAATGGAGCACTGGGTGTTATGCGCAGACAATAAATCATGGAACACTACACCCAAAACTCATGATGGGAGGGGGCGGAGCAAGATGGCGAAGGTAGGAGACCTGGATTTCGTCTGGTCTCAGGAATTCAGCTGAATAGGGATCAAACCATTCTGAACACCTACGAACTCAACAGGAGATCGAAGAGGAGAGTAGCAACAACTCTCTGAACAGAGAAGCGACCACTTTCTGGAAGGTAGGACGTGCGGAGAAGTGAATCCGAGGCGATATTCGGGAGGATAGACGGCGGGGGGGGGGGGCCTCCGTCGGCCGCTTCTGGCAAGTGCTAGAGCCGCGGAGCACAAAATCGGAACTTTTAGAAGTCGGCTCCGCGGAGGGACGTCGCTGCAGTGGCTAAGCGGGGGGTGGAAACCACGCGGGACAGTGTGGTCTCAGGACCCTCGGGGTCACAGAAAGACTGGGGGTGCCTGAGTGCGCCAGAGCTCCCAAGTATTGGAGCGGGGAAGCCGGCTGCAGAGACGGAGCAGAGTCGCGGGCTCTCAGCTCGGGGTGGCCATAAACTGTGATCCGCGGCCCAGCTGGGACACTGTGCCTCCAGCAGGAACCCAACAAGTGACAGAGCCGGGGAGACTCCCCTTTCTCCCCCAGGAGGAGCCGCGCGGGAATGCACCGCAGGGATCTGCTGGGTTTGGAGACTCCACACGGGGTCGGGTGCCAGAGATAGAAATGCTCGGTCACAGGCCGGATGAGCACGGAGTGCGGCCGGAGACCGGGGACACGAGAGTGACTGCTTTTCTCTGGGGGCGCACTGAGGAGCGGGGCCCCGAGTTCTCAGCTCCTCCGAGTGGAGATTGGGAGGCCACCATTTTCACCCTGGTCCTCCAAAGCTGTCCCGAGAGGTTGAAGGGAACAAAAGCTCCTGAGAGCAAACCCGAGCAGCTTGCTTAGACCAGAACAACAAGGGCGGGGCAATTCAGCCTCCGCCAAAGACATTTGGGAACCACGGCAACAGGCCCCTCCCCCAGAAGATCAGCACGAGCAGCGAGCAAGCCAAGACCAAGTTTACCGATTAAGGAGAACGGGA